GGGCAGGCGGGACCTCATCTCTACAATAAATCAAAAAATCAGCCAGGCGTGGTAGCGCATGCCTATAATTCTGGCTACTTGGAAGGCTGAGGCGGAAGGATCGCCAGAGCCCAGCAGGTCAAGGCTGCGGTGGCCGGAAGCGGCCACTGCACTCCAGTCTGGGCGACAGAGTGAGACTCCAACTCAAAAAAATAAAATAAAATAAAAAAAATAAAAGTTCCATTTTCAAAACATAAAGCAGCATTTCATTCCTGAAAGGATCAAAATGGGGGTTAACCAAAAGAATCTTGGTTTTTCTACATGGGTCCCTTTATTTACTAATAACTTGATTTTGCTGAACCTCTAGTTCAGGAGGAATGATTAGCTCATTGGTAGTTAGAGAGTTGAGAAATGGGTCTAGCCAGCTCAGGTCAGATATGAAACAGGCCATGATGACTGGCTAAAAGCTTAGTTCTGTCTCTAAACTTGCCAAACCACAATGTGCCTGAGGATATTAGTAGGATAAGGTATGGGTACCAGTTAGGAGGCCCAGAAGCCAATCTACTCGAACCAGTGATTTCCTTCTTGAGGAGGTGGCTGGCCAGGCTCTAAGAGGAATTAGTAACATCCTTTTGGCACAGAGCTAACTTGGTAACTAAGGTAGAAAAGCACTTCAGTACCCAATTAGGGTATTGAATTAGAATTCTGGATATGTCAACTCCCAGTGCCTGTTTATCTGCCATAATGATGTAGTATCTGCAAATCAGTGAGTTTCCAGCTCAAGCCAGAGTTCAAAGCAGGTATCCCAGCCTGCAACTAACTTGAACTATTATTGCGTCAAGTGAATATTTACTTCTCGTGGGCTCTTTTACTCTTGTTAAAAGAGGAGATTGGACTAGATTGGTGGCTTTTAAACCTTTATTATGAAACCTTTTATTCAAACAGAATCTCTCTCTGTAGGTTTGTGATCCTTAAAGGGACTCAACAAAACCCCTGAGAACTTTCTTTTATGGCCAACTGATTGGGTGACCCTACTTTATGTTCCTTTAGCCTACCTGTATGCTCCCTAGTCCAACCCTGTCAGACATTGTTATAGTTGCCTATCTTCCCACTAGACACGCTTCATGCGAGCAGAGCAGAGTCCAAGTCTATCTTATTCATCGTTGTATTCTCTTCACTCAGCATGGTTCCTGTCATACGACAGGCACCCAATAAGTATTTGATGATGATTATCTATAAGTAATAGTAATAATAGCTACCATTTAGTGGATGTTTATG